ATTGCTTTCTTGCGCTTCCTGCCCTTGATGACACTGACAACTCTCCCCCCTTCCTCCTCGACCTCCTGTTTGGTGATAAGCGTGAAGTCTTCTGACAGGTACTTCTTCCTTCCAAGCGTCTGTGTTGACTGGAGCTGAGTCAGGAGAGCCAGGTCCTTGGGGCTGGCCTGGACCTTCTCCAGTGCCTCTATCAGTTCATTTCTCTGCAGAAAATAACAGTCAAGTTAATTCAAAGATGATAAATATATCAAAACAGAAAGAAAACAATGAGCAAAATGTTATATAAAAATCCCAAACTTTTAACCAGTGCAGAAGAAGTGATGTCTATTAAATGAATTCCATTTAATTCTGCTTTGGGAAATATTAAAAACTCATATCTATAGGCTTATAGATATCAGAGTTTGCTGTGTGGTACAGTGGTAGCATTCTCATCTAGCAATCTTGCTGACCCTCATTCAATTACCACACCACTATTGGATGGTAACCCCTGCCAGTCCTTGCACAAAGGGGGTAATTTAGAGGCTAAAGTAAATAAACAACTTGTCACACCAAGAATAACCATTATAACAAATGGAATAAAACTAAATTATTATGTTCATTATTATTATTATATTTTATCATTCTAAATTGCATAACATAAATTAAGCAATTTCTAAACTAACATGCAATTCACAATTAGCCTATTACTCCATTATCAATTCAGACCCTCACTAGTTTTTCCTGTTGTATTTTAGAATTATTAAAAAACACTTCTTTGTTAGCTTTCTTGGTTAGCATCAAGTTTTGACATGGTTTTGTCATAAAGTATAATTAATTATAGGCCTGTACTTCTATATACTCGAAAAGACTTCTGTTCTGGACTTACCCTGGCTTTTTTATTCTTTTGGTCAACAATTTTTTCCAAAAGTTTCCTCTTCTTCTTTGAGAGTAGTTTGACTGGGGCAGCATTTTTATCACGCAATTTCTTTGTTGCTCGTTTCTTTGATGGCAGAACCAAGGCGTTCGCTGTATCATATGTTTCTGCTTCTGCATTTTCCAATTCAACCTTAATCTGAAACAAGGATAGAGAGAATAATAATAATAATAATAATAATAATAATAATAATAATAATAATAATAATAATAATAATAATAATAATAATAAAAAAAATATATATACATACAAATATATATATATACATATATATATATATATATATATATATATATATATATATATATATATATATATATATATATATATATATATACAAATACAAACACAGAAATTACCAAGGTATAAAGGTATAAAATATTCATGTTAGTCTTCCAGAGAAATATCAGTGATATAACAACAATCTTTTATCACAGGCATATTTGTTAATAAAAAAAAACAAAGGGAGTTGCTACGTTTACAGTATAATAATGCAATGTCTATAACTATTTTTCCATGAAAATACTCAAATTATGCTGTAATCACATTACCGAATCAGTTATTATATTGTCTACTGCCAGGGGGTTGTGCCCACTACCATCCTGCCTACCCCTGTCCAGGAATACAAAAAATCCTCCACATATTCATGGAAGGAGAGAGCATCAGACAGACTCAGCATCAGGCACTCCTGCATTATGGTTATGTGCTCTACCCTACCACTAAACACTAAGCACACGAAACAAGAACTCCCATAAACCTAGTCAATAGACATAACATTATGTTAAACATAGTTACTCTGAAAAAGAAAACCTGCAGAAGACTTATACATGGCCAATCACAATGATACTGGTATCATTGGTATCGTAGCTCAGAGGTACCGCCTCTGACTCGGAGCCCGGCGGCCGTGAGATCGAGTTTCGTGAAGCCAAGTGTGAATATTTTAGAGGGTGGCATAGCTCAGTGGTAGAGCACTGGCTTTGCAATCGCAAGGTCCTGGGTTCGCACCAGGCCGCCGCCCCTCTGAGTCGACTCAGCTGTGAATGAGTACTGATATGCTGACGTCAGCATGTTGGGGTCAAGGTCGGGGCGGAAAGGAACTGGCCACCCTACCGCATCATCCCGCAGCTTAGTAAGCATGTTTCTCTGCAAACATGTCCCCTACGTTCAAATGGACATGGGACCAACTTTGACTTTTTTGACTGGTATCACTGGATTTCACTTACCCTCTAAAACATATATAGGCTGCAGAAATCCCCCTTTCCTCTACAAATTGTAAGTTACCCTGAAAATTAAGTCTCGGCTCTATCATGGCAGAACCAATGTGTTCTGGGTTGGCTTGCCATTGCTGGAGCATGACAGGCATACAGGTCACACTTGACAATGTACTATGGTCACTAAAGTAGCCATCAACTGATCCCCTAGAAACTAAATATCTCCCATTAATTGGATAGGGAGAATGAGTGTCCTGGAAACTGTTCCCAATTTCCTTATCCAAATCTATCGT